ATTCTCGCTTCGAGTTTGCCGTCTCTGGAACGCTTTACCAGCGGCCGTAACTACAGCTCCATCTGTGGAGATTTTTAAGCGGAAGCTGGACAATCATGCAGAAATGCATGGTTTGTGTCTCAATGGCTTACCCTCTTAAAATTTGAAACCACATTGTCAATGGATAAGCATACAAGCTAAATCTTCACGACCCGTCCTGTCTTCTCCCACTGTGCCGACTACTCTATCTTTTCTTTCTTTCTTTCTTTATTATTTCACTTATCTCAACCTATATTATCTACACTACAACCTATTATTATCATTATCATTATTATTATTATTATTACTCTACTTTTATGACTATACCGAATGACCGACGGGTGTTAGGTCAAACTCCATTCACGGCAGCAGCTGAGTCCTAACATACTGCACACTACAAACCACAATCTTGACCAATCCTCGCATCACTCCTCCTGGAGTCTACCAGAGCTAAAGCAGTCGAGTGGCGGGATTTACTACGCATAAGTTCACCGAAGATCTGGAACCTCTACCTTAAAATCAAGAAGCGAGCTCAAAGAAATCACTGGTTTATACTAGCTCGTAATCAGGATATTGGATATTGGATATTGGAAATGTATGTGGCCTTACAGATTTCGAGGGGAGTTTGAACGTAATTATTTTCGTTGCACTTTTATGTTTCATTCCTCTTGGTAGTAAACACTTCATATTTATTTTCACGAGATTACCAAAGCTTTATTTATCTGATACGGTGGATGGTTTTCATGACGTTCTAAATGCCACTGGTTAGAACAAGGAGAAACTATCTACTTTTTAGGTGTTAACCGTAAAGCACGTTTAAATGATGTCATGGTAGGTTCTTGTATTTCTTCATCATAATAGTTACAAAGGAAGTCTTTGGGCCGCTTACTGTCTGGAATCAAAGGTGCTTATAATGATATTAACCCTGCGACCCTCACTGGAGCTATCGATGTAATTGTTGTGGAACAACAGGATGGCTCTTTTACCTGTGGTCCATTCCATGTCAGGTTCGGAAAGCTAACAGCTATATCTCCGGCTGATAAGACTGTGGAAATTTATGTCAACGGTGAATTTGTCGATTTCTTAAGAATGTGTTTGGGAAGTGATGGTGACGCGTACTTCGTGGATTCTTCAGGTTCAGTAACCGACGAATTCTTACCATCAGACACAGTTGGTTGCCCAGGTTTTGCGTATGATGATACTTGGTCTGGGCTGTCCATGCGTCGGCACCCGAGAAAAGTTCGCCGAGACTCAGCCATGAGTGAACCTGGTACGGAATCTAAATTAATAGAAGAGAATATTGATGAGATAAATGATTACGAAGTTTCTTCTGATTGTGAAACTTTGGATGAATCAATAAAGGACTCACTGAGGTGTCGGAATTCTATGAGTAACAACTTCGTTTCTGATAGCCAGCTTGACGAAAGTTCTAAAGTTGCTGTGAGGGAATATAGCTGGAACTGGGGTTCTGAAGACCCAAAAAAATGCCAGTCTGTTAATAGTTCAGATATATCAAACACAGACAAAAGTGTCGTTAGAGATGATGGGACAATGCAAGTCAATGACCCATGTGGGAAGGGGTTATACCTTGAGGAACTGGTTACACAGCAAGATCAAAATATTAAAGAAGCTTACATATACCCTCCATCTCATGTTAATCCATCCAGTCATAGCCAAAGTTATGGTTCAATACATGCAACCGATAGTGGATATGCAGATTACGGTTATCGATCCGATAATGAGCACACTCCTAGGAGCATATCGCCTGTCAGTCCACAGATTGCAAGCTTGAGACTTTCATTGTGTGGTGGTTTGTCACCCGACAAACCTTGTTCTGAGGATAAGTTTTTAGAACACATAGTTTCTTACGAAGAATTTATTCGTGAGCCCAATGCTATTCTGTCCAACCCGAATCTTGTGGTCTATTTCAATGGCCGTTATTGCAACTGGCAAATAGCTGCTCCTTCTATAGTTAGTGTACTTGCGTTTCAAACGCAGTTGCCTTATTTGACTTTGCAAAGGTTAGAGAGCCAATATCTCCCCAAAAAGCAGTCTCGGCGTACTTCATGGTTTAGCTGGGGCACTAGTTATACACAGACTGTAACTGCAGACCCGGAACCTGTTATACCATCTAAAAAAGAAGAGGACAAACCACAGAATTCTAACTGCAGCTGTTCGGAACCAACTCCGGTAAGTTACCCTGATAGTCTTAATTTATACTTTTAGGAACAGAGTAACCAAACAGTTACCAGGATCAACAAGCTTTCCTCAAGCGAAGTAGCCAAATTAAAACTGAAGCCTGGTCGAAACGATGTAGAATTCCGCTTAACTACAAAGTACCAAGGAACTTGTACATGCTCAGCTTCCATTTACTATTGGCATTGGTATGACAAGATAGTTGTTTCGGATGTTGATGGTACCATTACACGCAGCGATCTCCTTGGACATCTCCTACCTATGTTGGGTCACGACTGGACACATCCCGGAGTTGCTCGATTGTACAACCGTATTCGAAATAATGGTTATCAGTTTGTGTACTTATCGGCTCGAGCACTTGGCCAAGCAGGGATAACAAGAAGCTATTTGCGACAAGTCGTCCAGGACTCGGCATCCAGGCTACCAGACGGACCTATTTTACTATCTCCTAATTCCCTTCTCCATGCTTTCCACCAAGAAGTTATTATCAATAAACCTGAAATTTTTAAAACACAGTGTTTGCAAGATGTATGTGATCTCTTCCCCAAGGGTACTTGCCCTCTTTACGCAGGGTTTGGTAACAAAGTAAACGATGTCTTTGCATATCAGGAAGCTGGAATTCAACTGTGTCATATTTTTACAATTAACCCACGTGGGGAAGTTCGTAATGAATATCAGCATGTCAGAAGTACAACATATCAGGAGTTAGGTGACTCAGTGGATCTTTATTTCCCGTCTTTATGCAGTTCGCAAGCTATATCAATTTCATCACCAGTAGAATGTGACTTAAATCTCAAGGGTGAAAAGTCGACGTCAGCCTCTAAACACTCATCCAATCCTTCAATGGACGTTGTATCTGTTGATTTGTCTACATTTTCAAGTTTCTCTTTCTGGAAATCTAATTACGAGTTGTCTTTTCCTCCTCCAGAAGACTCAAGTAGCTCCTAATTGATGTATACTGTAAAGCATATAGTACATTTAGAAGACTTTGATCTTGCTTAGCTTCATTGCACTAACTTTCAACATACCGTTTATTTCATATAGTCTTTCAGGTGATTATTTTATTAAATAACACCCATATTCATATGATGAATGTGCCTTTTTTACATTTAGATTGAGATCTTAATTCCCTTTTAATGGATCTTGTTATCTGTTACTTTTTCGCTAATTGTATGTAATTACTCGTTGATTTTTTGTGCTAATACAAACATAACCAACTACGTGTAGTTCTGTTTCTGTTTTCAAATAGAATAATTTAACTTATCGACCCATGCGTTTAGGCCGATCTACTGGACAACCTTTCAGCCGAAAGTTGTTTTGAACAAGCTGCAGCGTATCTTCCCAGAATAGTTAATACTCTGGATTCAAATGTGTTACTATACCTTTACGCCAGATACAAGCAGGTCAGTTATGTGGGTTTTTCCTGTCCATTTGGCATATTTAAACTTTAAAGGATAAAAGACAGTTTATTTTTTCGTCGGTCGCTTCAAAGTATGTCTTAATCTTTCAGCTAAATAGTAGTGAAAAATCTATGCAGCAATTCCTTTCTTCTCAAGATTAGAAAGTCTTGTTATTTACTGACAATGCTCAATAAGGTCATTGCTCGTATTCAGGCCTCTTGAACCTAAATTAAATAAAGAAAGACTTCATGATTCTCATAATTACTTAATTTCAGTTACACTTTCTTTCCGAAACAGTAGTCACAGGGCATCAGGCGTGTTCTGTCTGTATGAAAAAAGATAATTAGTAACCCAAGACTTAAGATTAGGTCGTTAATCGAGGCTTTAGTGATACCTGTCGGCTTACTAATCTGAAGGTGTTATTTGATTCTGTGAAGAAATCATTGAAGAAGTGTATTGTGCTAGTCAGTGCACTCTGCTCTCCTGCAGTGTGGACCGTCGGGGGGTAATATCCATCCACGCGCTTCCATTTCCTTTAAGGAACTCTACTCAAATTCGTGCAGATGTGTTAGGGCTCAAATAAAGTTCTCGTCTGAAGTGACAATAATCATTAGTGTACACTAGGAATGCCCAGCGTCACTGTTTTTATTTATTTTCATACATGACGCTGACTTTGACCGTTTAAAAACTGTCTTACTACCAAGAGCAGGTCTTGTTACGCATATGATATTAACCTTTAGGTAAAGATACTGCCAAAATGCAGTCTGAATATTAATTAGGATCTATGTTCGTTCGGGATACTGTTCATTCCTATGTGATGTAAGAAGATGCTATGGGAGTAGTTAACACCAACTCCTATTTTAAGGATAGAAAGTAAAATAGTTGAATGTGTCAGTCACCTCACTAGTTGGAAGTTACGTCAACCTTAATAGGATGATTGCTGACAAAATCTTAGCACAGCCGCAGAAGGCTCATTCGACATATACCAATATGCGTCATTTATTGAGCAGACGTAACATCCGGCTGGGTCCCAGTAGCTTAATGGTATACGAGCTCGCCTTGTAACCGGAAGGTCCTGGGTTGGAATCCCGGTGGGTGCGTACTGATGAAGAGTCCCAAACTAGGACGAAACAGCTGTCCAGTACTCCCAGGTTTTTGTGCGTCGGTGGTATAGTGGTTAGGACGCTCGCCAACCATGCACATGGTCCGGGGTTCGATCCCCGGCCGACGCACTCCTTTACCTCGCTAAGCCAGAAATAATGCTGACGAAGAGAAAAGGTTGGTCATGAGGCTAGCAACCCCATCCTGTAAAATAAACACTGCTACAGAAACTTCGGGCCACTAGCTTGAAGCCCTATGTTCCACTGGGGAACGTGAAGGAAAAAAAAACATCTGGCTACTATGTAACACATAGCTCTTCCTTATCCTGTGACTTTTTGGGTAGAGGATATAGAAAATTTTTGATCATAGATGCCTTCATTTTGTTTTTCATGTTTGGTAGGCAATACTGCCACTGGAAATGAAGTTGGGTGTAAGGTTTTATTTAAGAAAGATAAGTTAATGTATGAAGGTTTGTGGGGCTCGAATGATCGAGATGGCTAAAATACACCTAGATGAGCTGTGTTACCATAAGTAGGCGTAGGTTAGGAAAGAATTAGAGATGTTTAGACCAAAACATCATTTATGCATGGTTTGGAAGGGGCAAACAGATGCAGATCACTTGGATGTTGTAGTCCTTGGGAATAAAGTATTACTGTAGCTGAAATAATATGCACTGAGCTTTCACGAAATAAATGACTATTGCATGGTCTGTCTTCAAATAGCTTTAATCAGCTTCGTTCATCCAACTGCTTTTCGTCTAATAGTACGTATCATTGAGTAATGAGTAATTGGAAATTACTCATGTTAGCTTGACTAATTTAGTATCTAAAATCCTAGGCTCAATAATACTGCGTAGACTAAGTGGTGCTCGGGAGGCACAAACACGAGAAAACCAGGCAGGCTTTAGGCCAGGAAGAGTGTATTGATCATATCTTCACCCTCCGACAGATTCCAGAACAGAGGCATTCCTACCGGCGTCCAACAATCATTATATTTCTCGACCTAAAGGCGGCATTCGATTCTGTCGACCGAGAGGTTCTCTGGCGATGTTTGGCTGCAAAGGGAATGCCGAGAAAATACATTGCACTGATCAAGGCACTCTACTCGAACTCATGCAGCCAGGTGAGGGCTTACGACGGGTTGTCATCTGAAGTGGTGACGACTAGTGGCGTCCGTCAAGGATGCCCATTATCCCCATTCCTATTCAACTTCATCATAGACGTACTAATGGACTTAACCCTAACACACTTCAGCGACTCAGGGATTGACTTGCTACCAGGGAAGAATCTCGTTGACTTAGAATATGCGGACGATATAGTCCTTCTAGGCGAGGACTCTGACAAAATGCAGAGTCTACTGAACACCTTGAGCTGCAATCTAAGAATGTTTGGTATGCGATTCGCCCCTGCAAAATGTAAGATGATGCTGCAGGATTGGACTTCACCGACCCCTAGATTAGAAATAGGAAGTGAAGTGGTAGAACACGTTGACCGTTTCAATTACTTGGGAAGTACCATCAGCCCCAACGGGTTGATCTCAGATGAAATTTCAGCACGAATACAGAGGGCTAGGTTCGCATTCGCCAGTTTTCGTCATCTCTGGCGTAGACGCGATATCCGACTATCGACCAAAGGGCGTGTGTACTGCTCAACAGTCCGCTCCGTCCTCCTTTATGGCTGTGAGACCTGGCCATTGAGTGCAGAAGACATGAAAAGATTAGCTGTCTTCGATCATAGGTGTCTGCGTTCTATCTCCCGTGTGAAGTGGTATGATAAGGTGGGCAATATTGAGGTTAGGCGTCGAGTGATAGGTAAGGAGGAAGGGGAAATCAATCGACGAGACTGTGAAATTACTTCGACTGAGATGGTTAGGACATGTGCTACGTATGCCTAGTCATCGCCTCCCTCGACGGGCAATGTTAGCTGATATAGGGCCAGGCTGGAAAAGAGCTAGCGGCGGTCAAACGAAAACATGGCACCAGTCAATGAAATCTACAACAGTTAGTCTAAGCCACGTAGGAAGATGTAGACTTCCTGGTTGGGGTCCTCGGGATGGTAAAAACCAATGGTTGGAAACAATTGGTGATATGGCTCAAAATCGTTCTCAGTGGCGCAGATGCATCCACTCCTTGTGACTTATGATTTCCAATTAAACTGTTTTGTTCTCCGTTATTACTATTCCTTTGTCTCACACCTCTGTTTACTGTCCGTATTATGCATTTCTTCTACTTTCTTCTCTTCCTTTGCGTGCTACATGGATTATGGCGACCTGAACTGCCGCACATATGTGCAAAGTTCTATGTCGAAAACCGACCGACCGACCATGTTAAATAGTAGTGTTTGCTAGTCATATTAGAGCAATCTATGCACTGGATGGTTGTCCTGCTCGTCTGGGACCAAGCTCATCATGATTTTCCCCAGTTAACTTCAGATTAGTGAACTGTATCTCTTTGGTCAAAGGGATGATTGCTTTCTTGATTGCTATTTATAGTACCAAATAGATCTTACCTTGACCGGAATACTTGAAACTATGGTGAATTTTCACTTTAAACCGTGTAATTCTTAATTGAAAGATTTAAATCTATAGGGATTTTGTTTTTGCGATGGTGTTTTCTCTTATGTACCAAACTTCAGCCGAATCGAGACCAGTGCTGCGATGAAATTGTTCTTATGCAAATTTCTTACCCGTTAGTCTGACTCAATCGCAGAGTACAGATATAATTTTAACTTTTCACAAAATATAATGACAAAAGAGTAATTTTAGAGACTGCGCAACCGTATTCATTAATGTTGACCGTTATTTTGACAGACAGAATTATTTAAATCAACCGTTATGAAACCATTCATAGTAACTTTCAATCATTATGAATGACTTTTCGAAGGGCTTTAAGGTGTAATAAGTTGTGTATGACTAGTGATAGTACTAGTGAACCATCATTCACCTGGCTAACTTGTTTCAACATAGAACATTACACAGATGTGCAGCAGTTCGAGTTGCCACACCCTCTCCTTTGAAGAGAGATTCAAAAGAGAGATAAACAGAAGTGAGGGAAAAAGAATAGTAATACGGAAGAACAACAGAGTTTTACTGGATATAATAAATCACAGAGAGCGAACTCATCTTCGCCATCGAGAAAGTTCTTGAGCCATATCGCCAATTGTCTCTAGCCATTGGTTCTTAGAATCCCGAGGACCCTAACCAGGAAGTCTACACCTCCCTATGCGGTTTAAACATCATTCACCAGTTTAAAACAGTTATAAATGTCTGTAGCCCACCAAATGAATCTCTGTATGGATATCTATTCTGAAGTTGGGCGTCGTGTTAGGTAAGGAGAATAAGTTAATCGATGAAGTTGTGAAACTACATCCAGAACCAACGCCTTCTTCTATGAGCAATGTTAGCCTACGGTAGAATAGGTTGGAAAAAAGTAACGGGTGGTCAAAACAAAACCTGGAATCAGTCTACGAAGTCTTTAACAGTAAATTTGATCCATTCACGTAGCGAGGTGGAGACTGATTGGTTGGGCTCGTCAAAATGCCAAGAACCAATGACTGGAGATTATTAGTGATATGGCTCAAGATCGTTGTGAATGGCACAGATGCATTCACTCTTTGTGATCTTCTATATCCGTTGAACCCTCAGGTTTTTCCATGTTACTATTCTTTCTCCCTCATATTTCTGCTTATTACTGTTCGTTTGAATATGTTTTTTCTTTCTTAGCTCTACCTTTGTGTGCTATATGGAGTGTGGCCACTTGAAATGATGCACATCTTTGGGAATTACAATGTCAAAACTCAGTGTGAGCAAAGTTGGTTAATACCTGAGATTTCAGTGACATACTGTGTATCCCTTCGGTGCAATCTCAAAGGAAGCTGTTATCAACAAAGCCAGCTGATATCTAAACCTTTAATGATCACAACTCTATCTCTTAGAGAACTAGAGGTAGCAATTTTTTAACTCACAGTTAGTTATTCCTAAAGTTAGAGCTGAAAATATTCTCTGGAAGGAAAATAAAGGTATCACAATTGAGCCATTTATCTAGAAAAATATCTGTGGTTTCGATTTCGAACATATGCGTCGGTGGCATAGCAGTTAGGACTCTCGCCAACCATGCACATGGTCTGGGGTTCGATCCCCTACCGGCGCACACTTGATATCAATGGTCGGCCTGCGGAATTTGGGCTACCGATATCACCTGCTGAAAATTCCATACTTGTACCGAAAATACTGTGTGGTTTCAAGCTATAATCAAATATATATATATATATATTTGAGAGCATATATTATGCAACACAAATCTTATTGGCATCAATTAACAGAAGTCTTCATATTCAACAACTGATTTACCTTCTTAAATGTACAACTTACACTCTGTTGTGTCCTCTTATTGGTTTACACTGCGTCTCAAAGTCCAATGAAATGCTTCGGATGATTTCTCTGTCCATCAGTTCAACTAGTACATTTTACGTATGCTAATCCACAGATCCTGTAGTATCAGTATCTAGTCTAACTGTCGTCAGTGTTGCACGAACCATTAAACCAGAGCTGTTACTCAACCGGGTCCCTAATAACAGTGATTTACGTCCCGATAAGGTAGATGATTGAATCAGATTAGGAAGGAATTAACAAATGTTATTCTTCTGTCATCTCTTTGTATTCACCCACGGATCGCGGTTTGGATTCAATTAAATGACCGTAATCAGGTGCGGTCGTCGGATAACTTAGTGTTATCTGTTGATCTGAATATTCAAGTCGAGCGTCTGGATTCTTCAAAGGAGAGTAGTTCCAATGGAAACTGTAGACAACATTATTGTAGGTCGTCAAGTAATGAGAGTCGTCCTTTGCATTTATTCGTAAATCATAATCTACTTCTGGCTAACATTAACTTCCTACTTTTGCTACTCAAAAAGATCGAACTGCAACCAGCTGTTAATTTTTTTCGGATGCAGACAGAAGCCTTTGCTTCTGAATACACTCTAGTGTTTACTTGCTTTATAATAATGATCATAAGAATCTTATTTCCAAGCAGCTGAATACAGATAAATTAGTTGTAGCCAGATTTCATTTCATGTAGAATGTTGTCCTGTCCATCCCTGTCTCTTTTTTGTCAAACTTATTTCTTCTCAACCTGAAACTCAACTGATAGATTTCATTAATTATATCAAAGTGAGCAACTGAATATGTTAACGACTGATCTCATTACTTTTGGCGTGGTTTTCCACTGATAATAACTGATTACTTGCACAATTGAAGACTGCGATAAATCCTACTTACCTTATCCAGGTTAACTTCTTTTTAAGATTCAATGCAATTTAACAGCGAAACATAGGCTTCTGCACTAGATGCTTAGTGAAAAATACTAGTAGATAGGCGGAGTGTCCAGAAAGAAAGGTAATATATGAATGAGTGATACCATCTCTTTATTTTATATAGTAGAAATACTGTCAGTATGCAAAATGTTTGGTAATTATCAACTTGCCTGTTTTGTTTACCAATATATCCCCTCGTGATAATGAACAATGACAAATTGAGCAGGATAATGTGAGATACCATTTGCATTCCGTTGGTTCTTGTTAACTGCATAGTCTAAAACAATTTTAATATCAATGCACAAAAGATTTACATAGACTAGTCATTTGGCATGGAGATAAAGGCTATTGATATTGAGTAATTTCACAGTATAATGGAAAAGATAAGATGTATTAGTAAGCTTGCTCGTATATATATATATATATATATATATATATTAATTGATTCTTCAAAATCATTGGAGATAATTAAATTTCAAGGTGGTTCCAGTTTACTAAGTGCTACTTAAGCGGTAAGCATCGTTTCAACTACAGGCGAAACTGACGAGGATATCAAGGCAAGGATCGGGAAAGCAAAACAAGGTTTCATTACTCTCAAGTCTGTGTGGAGGTCAACAGCACTCAGCATCAAAAATAAGATCTGGATTTTCAACTCCAATGCGAAGTCAGTCAGTGCTACTGTACGGATCAGAGAATTGGAGCGTCCTAAAGACCACCTCAAACAAACTACAGACCTTCATTAACAGTTGTCTTCGCTCAATAATCCTCTCAAGATCAGATGGCCAGCCAGAAACGATCAGCAACAGAGATCTCTGGGAGCGAACCAACCAGGAACCGATTATGCAACAAATAGGCAGGAAGAAATGGAGGTGGATTGGCCATACTCTTAGGAAACCATCAAGTGACATCACTAGACAAGCCATTGCTCGAGTGGAACCCGAAAGGGAAGCGGCGAGTTGGTCGTCATTGCGAGGGTGACTTGGATGAGGTCATGCGAAGAGGAGATGAAGGCATGTGGGCAGACTTGGAGCAAGGTGAAAAGGTTGGCAGAGAACCGAACGCAATGGAGACGCGCGGTTGAAGCCCTATGTTCTTCTAGGAATTAAAGGAAATAATAATTAAACGGTTAAAACGCAAGTTCGACATTTAAAAAGAAGCTGTTGTTGATCTTGACCTTCCATTCTGGAAAATATTTTATTTCATGAAAAGATTGTATTTAGCATAGAGGAAAAATAATTATATACCATTAATTTTGCCTTTATCCATATTCTTGACCTCTACCCATGTATATTATTCAACACTTCTATATCTTGCCAATTGTATACCTCTAATCAATTCCAGACTTCCGTCTCTAACTCTAGAATATTCTCGCAATTATTTCTGTATATACAAACAACCTTACTAACACATTTTACCTCAAAATCGATCACGAACTGGCTTCAGTTAGAGAACCATTGAAAACCAGGGAGTATTAGGTAGTTGTTTCCTCCTTGTCTGAGACTTTCCACCAGTACGCACCCAGGACCTTCAGGTTACAAACAGAGCTTGTTGATCATTCAGCTACTAGGACGGAATCCAGTGATTAACCCTTGAATTCTAACTTATGCCAATTCGTGGTATATAACGTGATCGCCAGCCAATGTCATCCGTGAGTAATTTGTCCTCATATCCACCCTAGTGGGCCCCATTAGTTACAACTTCTCACCATAACTTCAGACAACTTCATTCTCCAGTCAGTCACTAGTGAGCATCAGATTGATCTTCAAGTGTTGGTTTGTAGGGATTTGAACTGCTTTAAGTTTGATTACGAACACTTCTTCTTCCATTTCCCATTCTACTATTCATTTGCTCCATATTAATGGCCTCCATGTTCATGTTAAATAATTAAAATCTGTGGTTTCTTTTTATATACTTCCACCAAAATTGTTGTTGTATGTATTCACAAGAACCAACAAAATTATCCCATTCATTTTGTTGCTCTCCCTCTGTTCACTTATAATTATAGTGTATGTGTTGTTGTTCAGAATAAAAGAAACCAGAGACTGGTTATTATTATGTTGGCGTTAATTATTGGCTAAAACATTGTTTGTTTTTTCTCTCTTTGTTACTTATTTCAAAGTCTAATTTCATACAACTTGACTATTTCTCAAATAAATTTATGTGTGGTACAGGAGAGATAGAGAGAGTGAATGAGAATTTTTGGATGTATTCAAAACTAAAACTAAGCCCCTCTTACGTCCCGAGTGGAACACAGGGCTTCAAGCTTGAGCTTTGCAGTTTCAGTAGTTGTGGTGTTTATTTTTACGTGTTAGCGTTGTTAGCCGCACATTCAACCTTCCCTCTTTACGGGGCTTACTGCCTGCTAAGCGAGGTTTAGGAGTACGTTGACCGGGGATCGAAGCTCAGACCACGTGCTTGGCTGGCAAGTATTGTGCCACTGAAGCACTGACACACTGAAATTAGGTCATCTTATGAAATGCTGAACAATTTTTGCGGCTTCGCTGTATACATTAGCTTTAGTGATGAGGTGAGTTTGTACCTGTGACTTAGTCACTGACGATATTGTGTTAACTAACGGCTTGTTAATCTAAGCGTCAGTCTATTTTGATAAATCTTAAGTCACTTTCACTCTGATCTGTGCAACTTTTCCGATCTCATATAATGAATGAGCATCGGGTTGCATCAGTAGGAGGAAGGCAAGATAATAGCGATGAAGATGAAGACAAAGATGAGTGAGGATTAGAGAGGTTTCGCGTGCATTTCGGATTGTGAGGGCGATTGTTACTTCCTGGCTGCCCACACCGTGAAAGTTGATTGCGTAACCGCAGAGCCCAGGGGACAACTGCTTGAGGCCGGTCACACGCGGCCTGTTTTTGTTTGTTCTTTTTATTTGGTGTGTCTCAGTAGCGTATTTATCACTTCTGCCCTGTGACATGGCAGCAGGAAGCGCGGTCGTTGTCAATCCGGGCCCCGACCGATCCAGGCTGATATTTTGTGATTTTTTTGAGTCATAGCGTTGGATTGGGTAATTATTTTTGTCTAACCGCTATCCAAACAAGCTTTCTGGCATGGTAGGACCTCAAGCGACATAAGTCTCAGCCAGTATAGCTTGTTGAGTCATTGCGGTGTTCAAGCCCGACCACCACGTCAAGGTAGCAGCTTTCGGTCGGGGAATGAGCATAAATAATTCTTGAATCCATTGATAAGTATGTTTGCTATAAAATTGTATTGTTCTCAGTTTTTTAATAGAAATATACTATATTACTTCGATAAGGATGCCATATAATCCTTCATTTGTTTTGTACATCGTTAGGCGGTATGATATATATATGGAAATAATGTAAAATTCTCTACTGCTGCATTCATCGCATTTTTATTTCAGGCTACCGCTGGTCCATGCAATGTTCCAAAACCAGGAATCTTTGATATAAATGGTCGTAAGAAGTGGTAAGTGGTGGTTTCTTTTTCAATCTTTATAAACTCATTTTAATACAGAATAGATAGTCATCACAGAATCAATAGGAACCTGAATGAATACACCTATTTTTGGTATGTTGGCAATAACTATGGCACTCCGTAAAATGTTGTGATTTAGCAGAAGGTGGATAAAGCCTATCCTTTCTTTTGAAATGCTTTCATGTGTGGTCTGTGTGAAAGTCGTATTTACTGTTTTCACATAATGTGCCTTTTGTTTTCTTTTCCAATTTTTGACCCTTATCTCTTCTGGCTCTACTCTAATGTATATAAATATATATTAGAGTAGAGCCAGAGATGAGGATCTAATTAAAAAGTAAATATTTCTTGCTCAATCCTATTGTTTTCTAAATATCTAAATGGGGGATTTGTTTTTTCGATATTTTCGTCAAAAAAAAACAATAGTGGAGGGTGAAATTTCGGCTTTTATATATCACTTAATCGACGGACACAAACAGTTAACCCCTTGGAATAAAAAAACAACTAATTCCAGACAAATAATTCACATAGAATTCAACATGAAAAAACTTTTATCAATACCCATGGGAAGGTCGTGTCTAACACTCCTCTGTCCTATGGATTAGAGAGTAATGTTCCAGTACTCTCAATCGCTTCTGTCTGAAGGTGTATGTAGCATTCTTTACAAGCTGATGATTTAGATGGTGTTAAAACTAATTCAGAATTAAATTTTATATGCTTACAGAAAGTTCTGATTAATTTTAGCTAAAATGTTGTGTAACGACTGTAATAAGTCAAAACAGTCGCCTGTTAGTACACAGAAATGTTGTTAATTTTGAAGTGATAGAAATTATTAGGTAATTTATCAGGAGAATCATACTTGTAGTGCACACTAACTTCTCACAAATATCAGTTTGCAGATCTAAGGCTGTTTTGAGATGATTTCATCAGTGATAATAGTTGTAATAGGAACCACATTTTTGTATACAGTGGTCTAGTAGTATTCACTGTGAACCTTTGAAATGAGATTTATCTTTCACATTGATTTACAATTTTTTTAATAAGTTTTACTGTTATAACTGCTATATTCACTGAACATGAAACGACTGAACACTATATAAACTGTAAATAAATGGGATAAAAACGAAAATTCTAAAGAATTAATATGTTGAAGATTTGGAATAATAATGATAACTCATTTGTGGCTGACTGACTGACTGGTTTCAACATAGAACTTTACACCGATGTGCAGCAGTTTGAGTCGCCACAATTCACTCAGCACACAAGGCCAGAGAAGAAAGTAAAAAGAAACGCAAAATAGGGTTTGTAAACAGAGATATGAGGCAAAAAGAATAGTAATATCGAAGAACAATATAGTTTCACTGGGTATTATAAGTCACAAGGAGTGGATGCATCTGCGCCAGCCATTGAGAACGATTTTGAGCCATATCACCAATTGTCTCCAGCCTTCATTGGTGTTTACCGTCCCGAAGACCCCAACCAGGAAGTCTACACCTCCCTACATGGCTAGCTTAAACTAACTGTTGTGGATTTCATTGACTGGTGCCATGTTTTGGTTTGACCGCCACTAGCTCTTTTCCAGCCTGACCCTATGTCAGCCAGCTAACATTGCCCGTCGAGGAAGGCGATGGCTAGGCTAGCTGCGTAACACATGTCCCAACCAACTCAGTCGATGTAACTTCACAGCCTCGTCCATTGATTTCCCCCCTTACCTAGCACTTGACGTCTAACCTCAATATTGCTCACCGTATTATACCACTTCACACGGGAGATAGAAAACAGGTACCTATGATCAAAGACAGCTAGTCTTTTCATGTCTTCCACTCTCAATGGCCAGGTCTCAAGCCATAAGGGACGACGGAGTGGACTGCTTAACAGTACACACACCCTTTGGTCGATAGCCGGATATCACGTCTACGCCAGAGATGGCGTAAACTGGCATATGCGAAACTAGCCTTCTGTATCCGTGCTGAGATTTCGTCAGCGATCAACCCGTTGGGGCTGATGCAACTTCCCAAATAAGTGAAGCGGTCAACGTGCTCTACCATTTCACTCCCTATTTCTAAGCTAGGAGTCAATGTAGTCCAGTCCAGTTTTGTAGCATCATTTTACATTTGACAGGGGCGAATCGCATGCCAAACATTCGCAGATTGCAACTCAAGGTTTTCAAGAGACTCTGCATTTTGCCAGCGTCTTCACCCAGGTGGAATGACTATATCATCTGCATATTCTAAGTCAATGAGATTATTCCCTGGTAACAAGTCAATCCCTGAGTCTCTGAAGTGAGTTAGGGCTAACTCTTATAAGTTTTGGGTTCCATTAACTAAAGTTCTTAGCTATTGACTTGTATGTGGAGCTTCTATGCACATTTGAAGTTAACATTTACTAACTGTCCGTCTATTAGACTGCCTAAAATTGCCTTGAATCGACCGGTTAATATATGATAAGGGAATGATTATCAGTGAATTGGAAATATATATATATATATATATTCGTCGAGGGGAAATTTGAAGTTGGAATGATCTGTGGTATAAAACTTAAAACCGTCACTCTCTTATCATTTAGTGAGTGATTCCATTAATGATCTCTTTAACTGATGTTGGTTTTTGCCGAAATCTAACAACTGAAATTAAAATTAAATCCAGATCCCCACAAATTCCATAATGTAAATATCTTAATCATTTTATATTCCAGGTGCACATATCTACCGATAACTTTATCCGTTTCTTGTTAACGTGTGACACATTCAGCCTACATGTATGACGATATGAAAAGTAGTTTTTTCTTCTTTTCAAAGGTTATTTCATCATTTAAGCGTCTCAATTGTTTAGAGTAAAACTGAATCACGCCACCCCGTCTCTCTTTGAAGTAATTTCATCAAACTCTCTTACCTGTCAACATTAACTTTGTTTAATGATATTCGATAGTTGGAGGCAATCGGAAAGGAAGCTTTGCTCGACCTAGGTTTCGTGCTAGTTGGCACTCACCAGTCAATCAGCAAGGCCTATCTGCAACCTTGAAGGAACTCATGTCCTACCCCTCTGAGATTCCAACACGCGTCACCCAGTGAGAACTGCAGTCAGAGACGTTACCACAGAGCAATTCGGACTCGCGATTGACCTCCTGGAGGATTGTAGTGGGTACTTTGATTGGACACTAGTAACTAGTGTGACGTGTCTAGTCCTTTCTTTGGTGCAGACTGAATTCTACCAGTCAGGTTTGCCATGTGGCCACCATTGTGGATGGCTCGCCATCACGGTGCCGATTGTTTCAAACTATCTAATATCATCAAATCAATGTGCACCGTGATGGCGAGCGCTACCTAGAATGGTGGCCACATTGCAAACCTGACTGAAAGAATTCAGTCTGCACCGAAGAAAGGACTAGACACGTCACACTAGTTACTGGTGTCCAATCAAAGTTAACTTTGTTTAGTGATTGTTATTATTATTTAACATGTCAGCTATGGAGATATTGAGGCTAGCTATGAATGAATGATAAGATTAGAGTATATTACAAAATTGTGTATTGTTAACTAACACCAACCAAAATACTTCTAACTTTTTTTAATCTTTAATTTTCCATCATTATTTCACATAAAGATGCATCAATTACTTCAGGTCAGCTTGGCATGATCTAGGAAATATGTCTACTGAAGAAGCACAAAAACAATATGTGGAAAAATTACACGAAGTTGATCCTACTTGGAAACCATCAGTAAGTTTTTGTGATCTAGAAAGTATCTTTTATCCTTTCTTGTTAATAAATAATAATAAAATCACTTTATTCCAAGCAATAGCTTTTCATACAGAATGGGAATTTTCAGTATTGTGTACATATTGTAACAATGCATCTCCTGTCAGAAACAAATAAGTAAAATATCAAGTGCAAACGCAGAAGTTAACAGAACAATGATAAATGTAGTAATCATGCTGTTGGTAATAAGTTACTGTTTCATATTAGTTTGTTTATTAGATGTATCACACAGTGAAACAGTTTTGACGTTTCGAACAAAATCTATTATTGTTCATAATCATTTCATCAATTATAATCACACGACTTCGAAACTTGAGTTTTATAGTTTCCTTTGTCCTCTCCTATTCGTCGTCGTTGTGGTAGTAGAATTTTCCAGATATCTGGGACAGGTGTTGAATCATTCCTATTACACGTATTCTCTTCAGTTGATTCGATAAACAAAGCTTCTGTTATCAATCTCTCCCTCCACCCTGTGACATTAGATTTTAAAACTGTCATCTTATCCCATCCTATTGTATGGTTGTGTGTAATTGCATGTAGTGAGTGCTATAGCTGAACTATTCTCTAGATTTCTTATCTTATTCAGGTCAACTAATCTAGATTTCGCTGCTGGGTATTTGTGTTGCTCGGCTACTCTCACGACTGCCCCTGTTCTACTACTTTGACTTATGTATTTGACCTGACAGACAAGGTATTAGATAAACTAAATTGTTTTGTTTCATTGGCTCCACAGGATCCTTTAGCCGATAAAGATTGTTTCTAATTGAGTTTGTGGGTGGTTTGAATGCCAGCCACTTTTATTCCTGCGTTGTTAAAAAAATAAAAATAAACAATGGTAGTAGTGATAGTGGTAATAATAATAATAATAATGACGACTTGCATGTCAAACACGCACAAGATAATGGCAACACCAACCATAAGAAATCTAAATCATCTGTAGTTATTCCATACAAGGAAGGAACCTCGGAAACCTTACGCAGGTTCGAAGTCGTGTGATTATAATTGATATGATTATGAACAATAATAAATTTTGTTCGAAACGTCATCCAGTCAATAAAAATACTGTTTCACTGTGTGATACATCTAATAAATAAACCAAATGGAATTACTTACTACCACAGTGCCCAAGTTTTACACATATATTAAGTTACTGTTTATTTCACAGATTTGTAAGCTCTTTTCTGACATTTGTCTCTTCACATATAAAACCCATGGTACATATGGTACGGTTCAATTTGTATATTTAATAGTCGTACGAGCATAAATTCTTGTGAAATTTCTTCTGGTTCCACTGGAAGAGGTACAAAGAGAAAGTTGCAAACAAAAAGGAGGTTCAGTGTCTAACAAGGTGACTTTAGCTAAATGCTTGTCAGAATTAAAACGCCTATCAACAATAATTTTAGTTAATTTAATCAAAGGCAAATACACCACTAACCCTGTTTGGAGCCCTTCAAAGTCTTCTTTGAGAAGATCAAAGAAGAATAAGGGAGAACAATAAAGAAGTATAGCTAAAATACATAGGCGCAGAGGTTCAGTTACTCCAGAAAGTCTCAACTTCCTTACGTAATAAGTCAAACGAAATCTTTTCTTAGAAACCAACAAGATAAGACGACCACCCTGTGATCTAGGACTCAGTGTGTGTTGAAATCAGCTTGCTTAGTAAAAGTTCCCCGGGGAATAGAATCAAAAGCAGCAGTGTAGTGACCCAGGTTGAACCAGGATGACCTATCTGGCGATTTGTGAGTCGGTGACACAGCGGTTAGAACGCTCGCCGACCATGCACATGGTCTGTGGTTCTATTCCCGGCTGATGCACACCTGATATCAATGGTCGGAAGATGCTGGATTCTACACCCAGAGGGTGCATAGCACTAATGAGTTCCGAACCAGAACGAGATAGTTGTCCAGCACTCCCTATTGGTTTTCAGTAGTTCTCTAACTGATATAGATCCATGGTCAAACTTGAAACAAACCAAATCTCTACAAAATGTTAAGGTATAAGGTTTTCTACAATCTTGTTCGTTACATCATTCATTAAATTTATCACCTATTCTCTCTCTCTTCCATATATATATATATATATATATATATATATAAAATCATACTTTGCAGACTGATTTCATCTTTTGTGCTATTATGTTAAAGCATATGACATATTTTTCTATGTTATGTTATTCACTATGTTCTAATACCACTATCACACCTGATCATTATTGCTCATCTGAGTTATTTATTGATTAGCTAGCTAGGAAGGCAACTTGAAGGACATATTTAAGTAGAATTTTACTTTTATCACCATCGACATTCCGTCTTTTCTACCAGCAGTGGTGTCAACTCTTCATGTATCGATTGTGAAAGAATAGGAATTGACAGTAGTTACCCTTATTTATATATAATGGACTTAAAAAGGGTGCTCACCTTGATCGAATGTTTGTATGAAAACTATAGGGTAAATAGATTGACGTATTGATCAGTGCAGTATTCTGATCGTTTGATTTTTTGTGTTATGAGTGATTTTACCTGACAATAAGATTCCACCTTGAAGAGATGGTCGTTAGAATTCCCTTTAATTCTATCAAGAATAATTTTATTTGATAGGTACAACAGTGATATAGTATTATTTTAGGTTAGGCCACGGATTGATATCTGTTAGAGAACCATTGAAAACCAGGGAGTACTGGACAGTTGTTTCGTCCTGTTTTGGGACTCATTGGCAGTACGCACCCACTGGGTTTCGAACCCTTCTGGTTTCAAGGAAAGCTCGTACACCATTCAACCACTGGGACCCGATTCAATGGTCCAGTAGTTCCTGGCTTTCAATGGTTCTCTTGTGGTGAGAGCTGGCTGCTAACCAAATTGGTAGACAGTAATTTACGTCAATGTTTACGTCCCCAATATTGGTCGTGAGAAAAATAAAAACAAAAACTGATTCAACAACCAATCACAGCAGACCCTACGTAGGCAGATACAATTTGCAGATAGATAATCTGAACTTCAATAAACGGCCACAAAGAGATGAACGATTAACTTTCAGCGAGAAACAACCAATCAGAAGACTGTGTTTGTCTGCTTAAAATGATCTATAATAATGTACAAGAAAATCTATAAATATCTGTTGATTTCCTAAATAAACGATCTGTTGCCTGGCCCTTGTCTTCTGTTGTTACATTCTAACTGATATCAATCCGTGGTCTAACCTGAAACGGTATGAAAATAGAATCCCTAAAAACTACTTTTTGAAAATAGTATTATTTATTTGCTGATGATGTTTTGAGTACAATTTATTGTTCCTAATCATCATATCAAGGCACTTAAATAACTTTCAAACTTTGTTTATATAGTTACATTATTTCTTCTTTTTTGATTTTACTCACATCTTCCATATCTCTGGTATTGGTATTGCTTCATTCTTAGAGCATGTGTTAGGTGTAGATTCTATGATCAAAAATTCACTGACCAACCTCTCTCTCTCCCTATCTACCTATATAACTTTTTAGAACTGTGTCTCTGTGTCTCACTTTATTGTGTGATGATTTTAATGCATGCACTGCGATTGCTGAGTTTTTCTCTAAGTCATTCTATGATGGAATTACACTCACAGTTCCCGAATTCTATTCGTATACTAAGGATACCATTCACATCGTTATTACTATTATTATTGGACACTAAGACATGTGCCACATGAAAATAATAAAACAACAATGTATAAGGAAAATAAGAACAGAATAAATAAGAGATACCATCTAGAAAGCAAGCAAAAAAGCATACTTGCCAAGATCATTCATCATTCGTAAGTTCATGTTACCTTCAGAAAGGGAAGAATAAAGGAAATTGCAGCATGTTCGCCATTGATTACGACTCTCTGCCGTTTCTGATAACGTCTGAATTATCTCTCTGACCACAATTAGAGATGCGTTGGGATGCACCAACGGATCCTAACTTAGTAGAAATATCCCTCTTCCAATGGTGCCACATCATAGACTGACCATCTATACGCTTTTTCCACCCAGTTTCAGGGATAACAAACAGTGGACAGCATAACAGCCTCTGTGATGACATTCATAGCACATATCCAGGCCAGTGAAGCCGGTTTTTTCAAGAAGACCACACTCAATGAATGGTGACTTCTACCCGTGTCTAAACACACGCTGCCCGACCACAGAACTGATTACAAGGTGATGCCCTTGGACACAGGCAATTTTACTGAGGTAGCGCAGAGTTGTCGAACATCGTCAGCTCGGAGGGGCCAGGTTTCGCAGGCGTGTAGCAAGACTGTGCGCACTGAAGCAGGGTATGCCCAACCTTTGACGGCATCACAAATTTTATGTGCAAGAGGACTAAAGATCTCTCAGAGGTTTGAACATGTACCACTTAGGGTAGTAATAAAAGATAATTTTTAATTCAACTGTTGTGGGACAACATATCTATAGAATAAAATCCAGAATGTAATATCCTGTGGACTTATTTTCTTTATTGATCTTTCTTTGCTTTTCTTTTATGATTGTAATTCTGTAGATGGGCTGATTTTATCTCTTCAGCAGTTTATGAACTTACATCTCAGTTTATACATTAGAGGAACTATCATACTAGTTAGCTAATGTTCTCATTAACGTATAAGATAGTCTGAATATGATATAATCTTCGAACAATAGTAATGGTATTAAAATAGTTGCTAAACGTTGTGCAGTTCGATAGGTTACTAAAAGCCTCTTCGATTATTATTATTATTTTTTTAGTGCTTCACACAATCATTCTTGATGGTAGGACTATCGAAGATATTCTTGTGTTTGCAGATTGTTATTATTAATCTTGTGAACGATGAGTCTCGTAGGTCAGATGGGAGTACGATGGATTAGTAATCCAGAAGTCACTGGTTAAAATACTGACGTCATCCAGATTATCCTTTCTTCTACAATCAATACTCTTACAACATTCTACCTATTCTACTCGGTAAACAA